AGAAAGTGTAGGGAGTGGCTATAGGGTTAAGCCTCAGACTGACCTGCTGGCAAAGCCAAAAACAAGTCCCAGCTTAGAGGGCACAGCTCTTTTAGCATAATTAAACTTGACCTTATGACACCCCCTAGATCCTTTCTAGGTAGCTAATGGGCTGTGTGAGGTGCAGCAAGTGCTACAAAAAACAAGTAAAACTCACAAGAACATTGTAACTACAGTGACCACTACCTTGTTTACCTCTGGCTATAAAATAAAGGCTCAGCTTGCAGTCTGGATCTGTTCTGTGCTCTCAGTTAGGCAAGGAGATCCACCTAGACCCAGCCTATTCTCTTTGTCTTTTCTACATCCTTCACTGCCCTCCCTCAGGCTTGCCGAACTCTTGGCTGTGCTGGCGCGGCTCAGGAAAGGACACGGTGGCCTCTGGAAAACTGACACAGAGGATTCGAGCCCTTGAAGCAAGCTCCACGGTGCCCTGGCGCCTCAGGGAGGCCTGGTAATCATGAGTGGCCGCTTAAGGTCCTTCCAAGGGACTCAAGGGCTCAACACCTCCTTTCCAGGAGTCTACCTACCCCATTCTCACTGCCCTGAGAACATTTGGGGGCTCCTAGGACAGAGGCAGGGGTCCTGGAGGCACAGTGGAGTTGGTGTCACTACAGAGATGGCAGTGTACCCGTCGACTCCCTATCTGCCTGACAGCCCCAGTGCAGTCCTCCTGCTTCCAGGCAACAGGAGGTGCTCTCAACTTTCCTCTGGGGCCCGAGGTTGGGCTGGATGCTCCCCTTTGAAGGTGGGACTGAGGGAACGGCTACGGACATGAGCTGGAGAATAGCGGTCAGAAGCAGGGCCCAGTGCTCACAGCTTCCCTCATACCCACACACACTGAAGAAGCACCCAGTTGAGGGAGCCCAGGCCTCAGGGGCATTAGACTGAGCTGGAAAGCTGCCCGATGGCTAGAGGCATCACTTCTTATCTGGGGGCCGCGGGGCCAGAAGAGGCACAGTCAGTGAGGTCAGAGTTGGACCCTGCTCGATTCCCGAGGGAGTTGAAGGACACCCAGCCTATTCACCTCAACCCTTCAATGAGAACAAGGCAGGACAGGAAGCGCTGGAGGGTATCAAAGGTGCTGGTAATTACCAGCAGACATAGCCCTGCTCGCCTCTTCTTTCTAGCGCTGTCTTCTCACTCATCTTTCAGGCCTAACTCCTGGCACAAAGCCTGCTGGCTGGGCCCCTCAACCTTTTGTACTGGGCCATGGTGCCAAGAGCAGCAGCCAGGAGGCAGAGCCTCACTCTAGCTGGATCCTTGCGCGCCACCCTCCTGATTAAATTAGGGCAAGAGACCCATGGTTGCTTAGCAAGGTTACCTGAGGCAGAGTGCAAGCCCAGCCACGGCAGGTCTGGGCGAGGCAATAGAGGTAGAGCCGAGCCAGGTGCAGACATTTCAGAGCCTTGAGGACTGGTTCAAGTCTTAACACAGCCCCTTACTTGATGTGAACATCAGCAAGTTCCTGGTCCTCTGTTTCCCCATCGGTAACCTAGTGGGGATGGTCCGTGTTGTTAAAAATATGGTCCCTAAACACCTCAGAATCACCTAAGCATTTTGATTAAAATCCAGATTCCTGGGCTCTGCCTAAGCTATTCTCAACGGGGCCCTGGGAACCATTTTCCGGGTTATTTTGTTTGAGAAGTCCTGCTTGGGTGCAACCCTGCCCAGAGAGCCACATTCAACCAAGGCTGAATGGGCCCTATTCCTTTACTTGATGGTGGGGTTACCAGCACACCTGCTCCACACACCTTCCTTGCCCTCAGCTTAGACACCAACAGCCTTACCAAAGAACCGAGCAGGCTTTGTGAAGTGTGAGGGCTGGCAGCACAGCCGCCCCCACGCAGAAGCCTTGTGCAGCTGTTCCTGCCCCACCTCGGGCTGGGGCTCCTCGGACACTGTCATCTCTCCCCTCAGACTGGGGCTCCCAGGACAGTTTGCCATGGGGAGCAGCCACCTCTCCCCACCATATGCAGCTCCTCACGACTCTCACCCAGGTTCTGCACTATTGTGGTTCTCTAGGACAGTGGTCGGCAAACTCATTAGTCAACAGAGCCAAATATCAACAGTATGATTGAAATTTCTTTTGAGAGCCAAATTTTTTAAACTTTAACTTCTTCTAACGCCACTTCTTCAAAATAGACTCACCCAGGTGGTGGTATTTTGTGAGTCACACTCAAGGGGCCAAAGAGCCGCATGTGGCTCGTGAGCCAGTTTGCCGACCACAGCTCTAGGACACAGTGAATAGATGGGTGAGTGCGCTGAGCAGCCCTGCCTATGCAGAGGACTCAGATTCTGCCTGGGAGCAGGGGCACAATAGGTGTGCAAAGAAGTGTGAGGAAGGGAGGGAAAAGGAAGGAAAAGAGAAAGCTAAGAAATATCCAAATCCAGCAAGGCCCTGGCGGTGTGAGGTTGTCCTTAGCCTGGGGATTCAGAGCAATTCCACTTGTCACAATCCCTTTTCCTATGTAAGTATCCACAATTCTAACTAGTTTTCTGTAGCCAACATGGCCTTCCCTCCGCCTCCACACCATCCCTTGTTCCCCAGGTTCCAGGACTGCATGAGTTGATGTACAATAAGCTGGACTTGCGGCTATGTTTTCTGGCCCCACCTCTCCTGTTGTTTCCTGTCGCGACTCCCGAGAATATTTCCCTTTCCCAAACACTCCTCTAAGCCTCTGTACATGCTGTTCAACTCACACTGCACTTCACACCTTTTACCCACCTTGTCCTGCTGGTCTTCAAGGCCCGATTAGGCAGCAACTCTTGTGGGGCTCATACCTTCTCATCCTGACTAAAATACACCTCTCCTGAGCTCCCACAGCATCCTTCCCCCAGGCCGTTACGGTGGTGACCAGTGTTGGAGTTGCCTATATTCCAGCCTGCCCATTACTGCTGCCGAGTGCTGCCTCTCCGAACCTCATCCATACAAGACCGGCTCTAGCTGCAGGAGCCACAATGTAGTCTGTGCACAGGAAGGATGGAGTAACAGCTCAGTGTAACCCACAAAGTTAGGGTCAATCCTGGGCAGGTCTGACTAGCCCTACTGGTCTGGTCCTAGAGCAGCTGGAATGGAAGCATCTAGGAAGCCACCTCAGCAACTGAGAACCTGTGTGGAAATAGAGACCACTAGTGTGAGGGGTCCTGGCTGGTGTTCTCAGTGGTTAGACCATCAACCTGCACACTGTAGGGTGGAGGGTTCAATAACTAGTCAAGGGCACTTAGCTGGGTTGCAGGTTCGATCCCTGACCATCAGGCTCATGAGGGAAGCAACCAAACATGGATGTTCTCTTCTCCTTCCCCCTCCCTTCCACTCTGAAAAAAAAAAATCAATGGAAAAGATACCCTCTGCGAGGGGAAAAAAGGTGTGGGAAGGGTTACCCCTCAAGCTGAATGGCCAGCATGGGGAGTGAAGTTGTTCTTAGACGTTGGTGGGTATATCCTTGGTCCTGAGGGATGTGTGCTGGGGTCTGGCGACCAGCATTTCTCACTGGACTATAGACCAGCAACCAGAGGGTCTCAGGTGGCTTTCCTGAACAGGGAAGCGGCTTCCCAGTGAGCTGTGACAAGGGCCCACATGGCTAGAGCTAGCTGGGACAAGGTTGCCGGAGAGCCTTCTGGGCTGGGAGCAGGGATAGCTGCAGCCCTTCGGTAAAGGGCTAAGCACCTGGTGATGACATACTAAATCTACAGCCCCCAAACACACAGCCAGCCAGGTCCCAGATCCAAACAACCCAAATGCTTTAATGTCTATGGCCTGCCTCCGGGGACCACAGCCTCATTACAGACCTTAAGTAGGCCAAGCTTGCCGGCCTCTGGGTTCAAGGAGGTAACCCACAGTAGGCCTGGCTGATGGGGCTCCAGGTCCACATCTTCAGAGATCTTCCAGGACTGAGCTGTCACCCAGCCTGCCCTTTCTAGTCCCTGCAACTGCCTGGCTTCTAGCAAACACACAACTTCCTTAGGATAATGCACTGGGAGAGGTTGGTAGCTCAGGGAAGTCACTGGTGTCAATTTAGGACAGGCCTGAGACCTCCCAGGTAAGAGCAGCAGGCCCAGCCCTAGGCTGTATCCCTGCACCCCTGCAGCACAGAAGGGGAAGGGCAGGCTCCCTCAGGGAGTTGCAGGCTCGGTGTCTGGACCACACCCAAACCCTGGGCTGTAGCCCTGTGTTCCTGGGGGATGACTCTAGAAAGTATGGGCGTCCTGTACACTGTATCACTCCAAGATAACAAACTTCTATGACACAGTAAGAGGAGGAAGGTTGTTTGCCTCTGCCTCAAAATCCAGGCACTGGCTGGGATCTGTGCCCCTGTCCTGTGGAGGGAGCAGAGCAAACTGTAACTGGTGTGCCAGGCATCCGCACGCACCTGTGAGGTAGGCTGCATTGTCCTGTTTTGCAAATGGGTAAAAAGGGCTCCGGAGAGGAAGTGACTTGCTCAGTTACACAGCAAGAAACAGAGGGGCAGCTCTGAGCCCAAGCTGGCGGAGCTCACAAGCCCACACAACCTTTCTGATAAAGGCTCAGGGACTCTCAGCCCAGCTTGGGGAGGAGGGCAGGGTAAGAACTAGAGAAACTCCAAGGGCATGTCCACTCCTGGCCTGGTGATTATCAGACAGTAGCTATCCAAACAGCAGCAGCCACCAGAGCTACGGTAATGGCTCTGGCCAGCCAACAGCTGTGGGCAGGGCGAGGCCGGGCTGCTCCTCAGGTCTTGTGGCCCCACAGGAAGTGCCAGGCCAGAGAGCAGGCCGTTTCCAGCAGCTTCAGCAGTGAGCCCTTCCGGTGGGGCTAGTGCCGGCAGGGGGGCAAGTGAGGCACAGGACCCGCCCCCAGCAGTCGCCTCTGCTTCCTCCCGGCTTCGCGGCCTTGGGGTGGGTGATTTCTGAGCCAGACACAGGCTCTCTGGCTCATCTCTGGCATGATGGCTTCTGAGGAGGGCACAAATCCAGCCTCAGAATCAGTCACCTGGAAAATAAACACACAGTCATGCTACAGACACCAACACCCTCATGTCCTATCTTCTGCCTCCAAAGCCACCTAGACTAGTGATTCCACTGTCCCAGGCAGGACGTCCCAACAGGGCCAAGGAAATCATGACCCTTCTTCCCGGCCAGATCATTAAGCAAAGGGCGTGCTTCTCCCCAGGCAACGCCAGGGCTCTACCTGATGAGAGCACGACTCAGAAGAAGCTGTTTGGGTGCGAGGACAAGAGGAAAGGGGCCTGACAGAGGGCTGGGCTGCACAGAGGGCCGTCACGGTTCTGCCGCACTGCCACCAGAGTCAGGCAGTCCCAGAGGGAAGGAAACAATGCCCAGAGGGAAGGGGGTGAAGGGAGCAGCAGAGGGCGTGGGGGGCTCCTGACCAACAGCACACCAGGGAAGCTGCTAGGGAGCACTGTCTTAAGGACACCACAGAAGACCGGCACCCAAAGATGGGGGAACGACCCAAAGTTCAGGGAAGGCACGGGGACAGGGCACTAAAATCTAGCTAACCACAGGAAACTGGGCCACAGTCATTTTCTCCCCAGGTTCCAGGCTCTTGCACACCAGTCAGGGCAGGAGGCGACTGTGAAGTGGCTGGGCCCAACTCTCCAGCAGGCAGCCCAGGAAAAATAAATCCGTCTCGGGGTCCCAGTCAGCCCAGCTGCATGATGCTGACACCCTCCCACACTGTCTGAATAGAAAGCTCCCAGTAACACCCTTTGTGCTCCATCAGGTCCAATGCCCCAGTTTTTTAAGTGCTCAGGGGCAACAATGCTTATCACCCAGGTGCCAAGCTCCACATCTGTCCCTTATTGCCTCAGCCCCTTCTCCACCCGACCTGGAGCCTGGACCAGGTAAGAGCCCAGGGCAAGGCTGCCAGGACAGGGAGGGGGCAAGAAACAGTTCTAAGGAGGCACAGCTCACATTGTGACTTGGTGGTGAGAAGGCAGGAGAGCAAGGTGACAGCAGGCCTCGATGCCAGAACTCCTGGCATAGGACACAACAGACACCAGTGGGCACCGTCACCTAAGTCGTGGCACGTGACTTGCAGAAATCCCCAAGGGTGAGGTCTAGCTACCTGAACTGGTCAGATAACGCTCCAGAATGAAGAGAGCATGCTGGTGGGCCGTGTGCATAAGTTAGTCGGGAAAAGCAAACTGCAAAACAAGGTTCCAACTTGTTGGGACACTTTGATGAATGCACACACCTGGGAAGACTAAAAACTGTCCATTCAGAAGACAACAGTATGGGGGTGCGGTGATATCTCTGCTGGGTTTCAGGAATGAGCCCTGGGTGAATGAAGATGCTGTCCCACGTGTGAAATGAGCTTAGGAGAAAGCTCATGGGTGTGGCTTGGGAGGAGTTAAGGGTCAGAGAGTCACCAGGAACAGAAGTCCAGCATGCAGCGGGTTATTTGGGGATGGAGCTCAGAAGAGGGGAGGCTGGGGAGGACAGACATGGGCAATGTCCTCAGATAGCAAATAGGGCCTGGGCAGAGCTCCAGAGAAGCTTGCAGTAAAGGCAGAGAAGGCACAGCAGAGGGGCGGATCCAGAGGGGCACAGTACCAGGATGGCCAAGAAGTCTTTCCACGCGGAGTAATTGGTGTGTTCAGAGGCTTAGAGAGGAGCCTATGAGGGCTCTCATTGGTGCTGGGGATGCAGAATGGGGCGGGAGGGTCATAGAGCCCACCCCGGAAGACCCAGGTTCTAGGGCCTCCCCGCCTTTCCAGAGGCCCAGGATCCTCTAAGCCCCTGGCTGTGAGCGCCCACACACCTGTCACTCGTGCACACAGCTCCGGCGGCAACTGGGGCTGCCCCATGCTCACCCAACTGGCGGCGTACACAGTCGCGCCACTGCAGACCCAGCAGGTCAGGGTATATGTCAGGCAGCTGGCGCAGGGCCAGCAACTTCAGCATGCGCGAGGTGCAGCCACGCAGGGCTCGCTCCCGCAGCGCCCTCTCCTCCGACAGGGTGGTGGGCCGGAGCTCCACGCGGTGCTCCTGTAGCACGTGGTCCACAGAGGCCGCCGGCAGCCCTGGGAAGAGCCGCTCCTTCACCAGGTGGATGGGCACGAAGATGGCGCCGGCCCGCACCACGTGGGGGAAGGGGCATTGCTGCGTGCACACAAAGCGCTGCAGCTGGGATAGCAGCTTGCCCAGCAGCCCCTGCACAGCCTGCCCATCCTGCCATGCTGCCCGGCCCCAAGGCCCAGCCATCTCAAGCCATTCACGCAGCTTCTCGGGTGGGGAGTGGGCCACTGAGCCAGAGATGGCATCACACAGGGACTCGTGCAGTCCTGCAAAGTGTTGCTCTGGGGAATCCGCTGTGACAGGGATAGTAGCTGGAGTCGGGGCCCGGGCTGGAGCAGGTGATGGAGACAGAGTAGGTGCTGGGCTGACCACAGATATACCTGGAAGACTGGGCAGTGCCAGATCAAAGCAGGCCACAGGCAAGGGCTGTTTGGGAATCTGTAGCCCAGTGGGCACAGTTGTAGGCGTGGGTACCCGCTGGTCAGAGGCAGGGGCTGAGGTGGGCACAGCTGGGACCATGGCTGCAGACAAGGGTGCTGGCCGGAGGATCTTGAATTTTCGGAACATGAAGGCCACGGAACTGTGGAAGTTGGCTTTCGGGGTGGCCTCTGAGGTTGCTGACGTCCCAGGGGGCTTGGTGTGCACCCTAGGACTAGGGACCTTGATAGGAAGAGACTCTGTCATGGGCTTCTTCACACTCAAGTCCAGTGCTGCCTCTTCCCTATGTGGGCAATGTACCCCCACAGGGGCCTCCTGGGTAGACCAGGTTCCCCCGGAGTCTTTGTCACGGCTGTCCTTGGGGGCTGGGTCAGGCTCGGGTGTCGGCACATCCAGGTAGTCACGGTAGGGGGCCAGGCTGAAGACATTGTCGATGATGGGCATGGGTGGAGAGCCGGGGGGCCGTGTGTCCTGGTTCTGCGGGAGAGCTCGGGGCTCTTGGCCACAGGATGGGAGTGCTGGTGGGGGGCGGGGACCCGGACTGTCTCCGATAACAATGGGTGCCCCAGGGTACTCGTTGAGCGGCTCTTTCCTGCAGCTGGGCAGCCACAGGGTCTTCTCAGCTTCCCGCGCTGGCTTCTCCACAGGCTTCACAGGATCTGGGCACGGCCGACTGGCAGGCAAAGGCTGGCATGTTCGCTGGAAGGCACTGGGCTGAGGGACAGCCTGAACACTGCTCTGGGAAGGCAACGTCCCTCTGAGCCCCGGGGACGCTCCACAGAAGGAGAGGTCATCCCGTGCGTAAGGAAAGCCCAGTGGCTGGGAAGCAAAGTCTAGCGGGCACCGTGGAGTGAGAGGAGGCTCCAGCTTGAGGTCTGGTGAGGGAACTGGGAGGGGGGCAGAGGGGTAGGAATAAATGTCCGGCCCCACTGGGGGGATACAGGGTGCCTGGGCTGTCTGCTGCCTCAGGTAGGGGCTGTTCAGCCCACCAGTTAGGTACCCAGCTCCCTTGTGGGCTCCCAGAGGCTGCGGTGGGTGCACTGAGCTGTAGCTGCTCTGCTTCTCTGGATAGTGACAGGCTGGAGGGCAAGACAGAGTCTGTGGAGGGTGGGGCAGTGGGTAGGGGGAGGGCACTGTATCCTGATAGGCTGAGCCCAGGGGCTGAGCCCAAGGATTGGGGGGTCCCTCGGACAATCCCTGCTTGGGGTCCCCAGAGTAAGAACCTGCATACTTGGAGGCTAAGAAGCCTGTGCTGTGGCTGGTCTGATATTTGTCCAGGAATACCTGGTGAGGGGAGAAACTCCCTGAGGAGTCTTTGCCAGATCCCCCAACTGGCACCTTACGTAAGAAGGCACTATCCGGGCACTGGCCTTTGCCAGGAGCCAGAGTCAGAGAACAATGTGGGTTGGTTGGAGGTAATAGGGCCCCAGTCACCAGTGTCCAGTCAACATCCAGTGACCTCTTCGCCGCTCCGTCCTCCAGGCAAGTTGAGAGCCCGTAACACAGAGGGCTGCGGTAGACAGGTTTGGGTGCTGCCAGCGGTGGGCCGGTGTAGGAATGAGTCTGGGGAGTAAAGGGCAGGAGCTCAACAGGACCAGAGTCCTGTACCTTCTCAGAGCTTCTTGCTGGTGGGCGATAGAGCAGGCAGCTGGTCAACAGGTTGTCTTCTCGAAGTGGGTGTCCCGCTACGCTGGTAGGATACAAGGGTGGGTATGGGGTCCAGGATGTCAACTGTCCAGACCCTGTTTGGGGAACACCCCCCAAGGAGCAGGAGAAGTAGGCACCCTTGTAGTTGCAGGGGTCCTGGTTAGCAGCGGAGGGGCCCAAACTGTGCCCGGGGCCTGAGTTGACCTGTAGACGGGGCAGCTTGCTGTACATCACAGGCCCCAGGGTGCCCTGTGGCCGCTTCTCCGCCATCACTGTGAAAAGGCTTCACGCCCACCAGGGCCCCAGCTACTCAACTGCTGACCTGGGAGAGAGAGGCAGAGGCATGGATCATCAGAACAGGCTACAGGCAAGTGACAGAGGGCTGCTGCTCTCACCGGCTCACCACCACATCTAAGAACTTGGCACTTAGTAGATGTGCAGTAGACTCTGCATGAATGAACGCATGAGCCATTTAACCAGAGGTTTGCAACTTGATATTTTAAGCTGCAGAACCCTTCCTTAAGGAATTCTTGTGCGGCAGCTCCCACCTCCACTCTGGAGCCCCTGTTTCACTTTCCTCTACAGGATCCCCAAGGCCCCTTCCTCAGCTTTCAGACGTTACGGTCAGTCTGAGGGTCACTTTGTACGGAGACCCATTCAGACCCCACATAACTAATTGAAGAAATGGGGTGAGAGGCGGGCTCCCGACCTCCCATGCCAAGCTTTTATTCCAAGATACCACAGTGATCTCAAGATGCCCACTGCAGCCAAGATATGGAATTGGGCACTGTCTACAAATTCAGATTCCCTGTGACACTCTAGATCTGTTTCAATAGAGGGCTTTATATGCAAAGTAGCACCCATACACCAAAGCATCCAGGAACAAAAAACGAGTCTAGCTCGTCAATTAATGAATTTAATAGGGAACTTATGTACAGAAACACAGTCCTGTATGGCATCAAGACAAAACAGATCCCCCCCCCCTTCCACCCACCCTAGACCATGTGCTTATATCTCCTCAGCAGTGGGAATGTGTGGGTAATCAAAGGGATCAAGAGATAATGTTGAGAGAACTACTGAAGATGCTGCGATAAGCCCAGAGCTATACTATTCCAGAGCTAACCCAGGGAAAGTGGAGACGGTCAAGGGTCCAGTTCACCCAGATGTCAAAATGGCAGATTACCTTTAAGATGGAGTTCCACACAAGATCTGACCTGCCAGTCTTATAAAAAAAATGGCAGCGTCAGGCCTGGAACCCAGGTCCTTAGGCCCACAGCGACAATCACTGCGCTTTGTGCTGTGTTCTGGAGGTCGGTCCCTCAGGAGGTGACCAGATGCATGACTTTGTACAAGCCACGCCCTCCCACCCTCGCCCCACCAAGGCTGTCCTGCAGATGGTGCTGTGGCACCAGTAGGAAGGGAAAGAGAGCCAGTGCCCATCTGTCTTTAAGCTACATGGTGGCAGCACACCACCAGGACAAGAAGGTGGGGAGGTGGGAGGATGAATGCCCAAGCAGGGAGCCTCCAGAGGCCACGCAGTGCTAGTGGCAACTACCCCGATTGTACTGATATTAAAACTGTGTGCCACCTTTGAATGTTGACCTGTGAACCAGGAGGTCACAGCTCGATTCCGGTCAAGCACATGTCTGGGTTGCCAATTAATGATTTTCTCTCATTGCTGATGTTTCTATCTCTCTCTCCCTCTCCCTTCCTCTCTGAAATCAATAAAAATATATTTTAAAAAACAAACAAACAAACAAACAAACAAACAGTGTGCCAGAGAGACTAAAGCCCTGAAGTAAAGCCAAGCAAGGGCTGGGATCCAGATTCAGAGAGGTCAAGCATGGGTTTGCCAAAGGCAGTAGGCACCCAGTAACCCATGAGAGGTCATGAGGTCAATCTGCTATGACCACCTTGACCTGTCTCTACCTCCTCCTACCCCCAGCTCCCTGTTCTCCAAAGCCCTCAGGTGGCTCAGAAAAAAAAAAAAGAAAAAAAAAAAAATGGAATCAGCTCAATCTGGCACCGGGCATCACAGGTTTTCATCACCAACAAGCGAAGAACAGCACTCTCTTCTCCCTCCTGCCGGGAAGCCAGCTACAGACTGAGTTAGATCAGCATATTCTGGGGACAGGAAAAGTCAAAAGTAGTATGGGGACAAGTGCCCACTGCCATGCCAGGGCAACTGCATCAAAGAAGCCAGGAGGGACTCTCAGGAAGTTGGTTCATCTCTTGGCCAGAAATGGACACCTCAGCCAGCCTCGAGAAGAGATGCTCCAGAGAAGACAGGATGGGGCTTCAGGACCACAGTACCAATAGCAGTGCCCTATACTAGGGACCTGCAGCCTAGGGCATGCAGCTTTGCAAGGAAGAGTTGCATGGTTGTGGGTACTGAGTCTTGCTTCTGCCCTCGGGAGCTCTGGAGTTAATTAAGTGCTGGCTCCTTCTCACCTTCCCCACATGCTCCTTGGGGCCTCCTCCACACCCACTCCCAGGAGTCCTTCTTTCCTGGGCTCTGCCCACTGTGCGCCCTTTGCCCTGGAGACTTCCTGAGAGACCCCAGAGGGGCCCAGCCAAGAGATGTGAGGCCACCCCTGTTTAGGAGAGAGGGATCTCCAGGGAGCCATCAGAGGATTATGAAGGGTGTGAAAGTGACCCTACCTCCTGCCAGTAGGAGACAGAGAGCTCAGTATAGCGAACTCACTCGCCACTCAAGACAGTAGTCTCCTTCCCTGAAACATACACTGAAGAAGCAAGCCATTGCTTGGAGGAAGGTGGGGACCCCAGGGAGTAGGGTCACATCGCCCTGAGGGCCACCACACTATTTGATGGCTCAAGTTGAAGCTGGGCTGGGAGGATCAACCTCAGCAAAGGCTCAGGGAAGAGTCTAAAAAAAGAGCCCACCAGGGCCATTTTGGTCTTAAGCAGCAGAGAAGGCAAACAGCTCTGTTGCTCAATTCCCTCTTCCATCTCTAGGAGTTCCTTAGATGGGCGTTGGAGAAGATCAGGAAGGAAAGAGTGATCCTGCGCAAGTCCCTACGGGGTGTCTGGACATTCTCACAGGACTGAATGGGCCTCCTCCCCTGTTCTCATACTACCCCCAGCTGAGGCGCTGGGACCTGCTACCCTAGAACCCGGCTACGGTGGAGGAAGAAGGGTCACGGGATTGGCCTCCACCGCTTTCTCCTACCTGCCCTGCCCAGAACTCTGGTGCCCCGGGCCCTCTGCCGACCTGGCTTTGTGGCTTCCGGCGGCACCGGGGCGCACGTGTGCTCCCGCAGGCTGGCTGAGGTACAGGCTGCCGTCACACGTGCACACCCGTGCCTGCAAGTACGTGCATGGCTCCCATCCGCACACACGCCTCCACAGAACTGTGCTCTGTCTCCTCAGGCCCCGCACACGTGTGCACGCAGGAAGGCCCGCGCACCCGGCCCCGCAGACAGACACCCGAAGACCAGCGGGAGATCCGCCGCGGGGGGCGGCCGGGCCCCAGGATCCGGCAGCCGCCGCCTCGGGGCGAACCCGCCGGCCTGGGCTGCAGCCAGCGGGTGAGTCAACCCCAGCGAGGAAACCACAGGGCCATCCTGTCCCGGCAGGGTGCGTCCCTGGCCCCGCGGCGCCCGACGCCCACCAGGCCCAGGCCCTCCTCCCCACTCCTCTCGGGCAGTTCCCGAGCCAGGCCCGCGGGAGGCCCAGGGCTCCGCCCGCGCCCTCCCCGCCGGCCTCGCCGGAGCTCCGGGCGCTCCCAAGTCCGGGCGAGTCCGGCAGCGGCGCCGCCGGGGTCCGCGGCCGGAGCCGCAGCACCTCGCTCAGCCTCCGCGCTCCGCTCCCGGCGGCCGGCAGGGGCGCCCGGGGCAGCGCCGCCCCCGCTCCCCGCGCGCTTCCCGCAAACTCGGCCCAAGTTTCCGCGCCGGCCGGGCGGCGAGTTCCTACCTGCAGGACGTCCAGCGGCCCGACCCGCCGCCCGGCCGCCGCCGCATCCCCGGCGCCGGAGGCCGTGGGCTCCCGTCCCGCTGGGCCTGCGCGGGAACTCGCGGAAGCCCGAGCCGGAGCCGCTTCCCCGCCGCCGCTCGCGCCGCCGCCGGGCGCCGTCTGCGGGCCGGGCGGGGCGGGCCGGGGGCGGGGCGGGGCGGGCCGGCGGGGCCGCGGCCGCGCTCCGGGAGCCGCGCTCCCCAGGGCCCGGGGTGGGGCCGCGCGGAGCCGCCCTCCGCGCCGGGCGCTGAGCGGTGTCTGACCGCCCACTACGCGGACCGGTGCCGTCGCGCCGATCGCACGCCTCCGTGCAGCAACTCCCTTAGACCATTCATTCATGGTCCCCTTCTGGCGAAGTGGCCTTGTGCATGCCGCTTGACCTTGTTGAGCTTCAGTTTCCTTATTTTAGTACAACTGGAATTATATCATAGTGGTGGTGGTGTAAGGCTTAGAAGAAGTTGTATTAAACTATCTGGCACACAGTAGGTCCTCTGGCTCCCTTGACCAGTGCTAACGACATTAAGGAGCTGGAGAAGGGCTCCTGAGCCTCAGTGCAGCCAGTGAGGGCCAATTCCAGACAGATGTATCCCAACTCCTGTTAGGGCACCACACCTGAGGAGGAATGGTGATTTCCCTAGCCCTGTCGTGAGCCAGCAATGAGGGCACTGGGCAGGGGTGGGGAGTGTTTCCTAGGGGCCTGAATGGGCACCTCTGAACACTTTCGGCAAATCTCCCTCAATAAGACTGGCCTAAGCTGAGCACATCTGGCCTGGGAGGTGGGGTGAGGTGAGCATTCCCAGCCAGGAATGGTATGTTGCTGAGAGAGGGACTAGAGGGATGGAAGGGCTGTCCCCATTTGTCCGACTCTTTGAGCCACTGGTTTGGGATGAGAAGCCCTGGGGTGCTGCTACCTTCTCTAAAGAAATCTGGTAAGTTCCTGGGCTGTCCAAGAACTGGGCACGGGTTTGTGAAGTGGCGAGGTTGGGTACCGGTGGACATGCCAAAGGTCAAAGCAAGTTCGTGGGATAAAACCATCCAGGCCACCTGCTCAGATCAAAAAAGGTCACTGCTACCTGAGTGAGAAGGCAGCACAGGCTGAGGCCCCAGGTTCCGAGTTTGAAAGCTGCTGGAGCAACTGGAGCTAATGCGGAGGCAGGGCACCACAGCAGGAATAGGAGGAGGAAGTGGAAGTCACCTGGGAGGAGGGGAGAGTGTATCACTTAGTTGAGAGCTAGCGGGTCCTTAGAAATGGTCTGGGGAGATCTGGGGAGCAGACTCGGAGATAGTTGGGGCTTTAT